CCCCTTCTCCCCTCCTCTTCCCCCGGCACGCAGACAGGCTCTGGTTGTACAGAGCATCTCCTTTCCCAGCCCCACGGATGCCTGGGCTGAAGAAGCTGCCATGCCCAGGACCGTTTTCCCCTGCGTCTTCATCTTCCATCAGCCAAATCCCGCACCTCCCCGAAGAGATGCTCTTTGGGCAGCATCTCGGAGCCGGCATCGCCGTCTGAACACCGCGTGCTGATATTTCCCTCTCCCCATCAGCTCGGATGGGCCCTCGAGCCCATTAGATGAGCTGTCAAGCGACAGATGATAGCAAATTGTGTTTTCAGGCCCTCATTGAGCTTAATTGCTTGACAGGAACCATCCCGAATAATTCCATCGTAGTCTAAGTTAGCTTTAATTTGGAGACGTGACGAGGCTCTGCGAACTAACCAGCCCTGGTTTGTTTGCTCCTCCTCTAACTCCCCCTCGCCGGCGTTTGAACTGCTTTAACATAAGTAAATGAAGATTAGAAACCTAATTGCAGCGGGGAAGAGATGTTACTTTAATTGTGGGGGCGTGTGAGGAGGTGCTTTTATTTCTTAAAATTTGCACAGGTGCATATGTGTAAAATCTGAGGTGGGCAGGAGCGGGGTGGGGGGGGGGATGAATGCGGCCTCCGAGTGCTCTGGCAGAGGTTTGGTCTGGATGAGTCTCCTGCCGATGTGTTTGGGATGCGTGCCGTGCCGTGCCGCGGCGTCTCAATCTCAGATGTTTTGTATGAAGTGGGGATGAGGCAGGATCACCTGCCTTTGATGCTGAGGCCAAGTGGAACGAGCCAGCGAGGGCGGGGTGAGCCCTCGTTTGTGCTAATTGCCCCCTGCAGCACGGGCAGTTTGTGGTCCCCTGGGCATGATGCTGCAGAGCTCAGCGTAGGTGGCTGAGCATCACCTCATCCCGGTGATGAAGAAGGACGCTCCATGGCCGTTCTCCCTCTGCCTCCTCCACATCCCACCTCTTCCCTCACCAACACACACACCCCATGTTCTTCATCCCACCCCGAGGCCGCAGCAGCGACGTCTTCTTCCACCTGTCCCCCCAATCCCAACCCATCCCTGCTGTCTCCATCCTCTGCGCGTCTGCGCACGTGTGCCATAAACGTTGCACTAATCCTCAGAGTCTCTCTGAGTTTTCACCAATGCCTTCACCCGCGGTGGTCCCAGGGTCTGTGGGAGGGAGCACACCCCCTTCGCCGGAGGTCTCAGCTGCCAGGGGGGAGCAGGGAGGTCTCCCCATGAAATCACCGCTCCCCAAACCACGTTCAGTTAGAGCGATCCTTGTAGAAAGGTGGTGTCCTTCTCGCTCGGTGATTTTAGTTTCTACATAGGTGTGAACTTCCTAGGCGAGCAGTAGCAAGTGGAACGTGTTGGAAGGATGAAGGAGGTGATAGCATGGGTGATGCTCAGCACCGGGGGTGCTGTAGCCTGATAGACGTTGTGCGGATTTATGGTGGAAGGTACAACGCCCGTCTTGAAAGACTTACTGTGGGTTTGCTCTCTGTTCCCCGAGCCCTCTACTTGCCTGCGAAGTCTCACCTTGACATATTCCCCCGTGGGGTCTCACCAGCTCTCAGCAGATGCCCGCTCTATTTTATCAGCTGAGGCTCAAGGAAACAAGTGAACCCATGAGCATGTTGGTTTGGTTGCCCCACAGCATCAGGTCCTCATCAGGAGCACAGGGCGCTCCGCAGCGGCCTTGGCCAAGTGTTTCTCCCCTGGATTTTGGGCAACCGAAAGGAGCTGAGTGCTCCCATAGCCAACAAGTCT